AACTGAACTGATTTGTCTCGTACCTGCTCATCGAATTAAAAAAATAATAACCAAGAAGAGTCATTTAAAACAAGTAAATGAAAAAAAACTGTTCTGTGCATCTTCCCTGTCAGGCTGTGGAGCATATGGAGCGGATAAAAACACAGAAGGTTCCACCTCCACCTGAGATGCATCGTAAGTAATACTTTCACTTCAGATATATAACTGGATACATGTGAAGTTTACATTACCAAGCTATTCTTACACTGGGTTTAAATGTGAGATCCACTGACATGTTATTCTACTTTAACAATATTGTGGAGATGGTTAAATAAACTTGATATCGGTTATTGTATGCAGTGGGTTAACAGGGTTTCCAATGTTGTGGTTGTTAAAGCATAAAAAAAACTTTAATAATAAAAAATAGCCACACCAATATTCCTAAATATACTTGAATTTTAACCATTTAAATTTAAAATGTAACATGTATTTTAATAGTGACATTCCTGACAAAAATACTTGAATTTTTAACATTTAAATTGAAATGTAATAATGTGGGTAATGGAGTCTTCACTGTCATCACCCTCAGTGTGAATAGGGTTGACCATTTTGTCCTCCAACACAACTGTAATATCACATGTAAACAATATTTTAATTTTAGAGCATTTCCTTAGGCAGCACCACCTAAAGAAAAACCTCTTTTTAAAGCCAAATTAAATATTATGCTTTTTACATGCACTGGTCAATATGGAGATTTAGGGCTATTTTGCCACCATAACATGACTAGTGGAAAGAAAAGTAACAATAATTAAAAAAAAATAAAATAGTAAAATTCGTTTCTATAAAGGCTGTTTCTAATGCATTTTTTCTCATGCACTGAGCCGAACATTCCCACTTCAGTAGCACGTACATACACCAGACTTTCCATTTTTTACAAAGAGGTTTGTTCATATGTCAATCCCATTTATTTATATTACATTTTATTCCTAAAAACTTTTATGGCTGTTACAGCATTTTCTGATTTATGATCAAAAGTGAAAGGTGGTGTCCAAAACCTCCTCTGTGAAATCTTCAACACTTATATTTCTTCTGTTGTCATCATTTGTAAGTCGCTTTGGATAAAAGCGTCTGCTAAATGACTAAATGTAAATGTAACACTTTGATTTTAAAAGTACGTTCTTGACAAATATACTTGAATTTTAAACATTTAAATGTAACACCTCGATTTTAAAAGCAACATTCTTGGCAAATATACTTAAATGTTATGTATAAACACCTTATTTTCAATGTAAAAAATTTTTGGCAAATGCACTGTAGTTTTAAACATTAAGTGTAACCTGTTATTCTTGGCAATAATACAAAACACTCTAAATCTCTTATAACAGTGCAAGGAAATGCTGTCCCTGAGTCACTAGGACATGATCCGCCTCCTGTGCCCCCTGAGAACCAGCCTCTGCCCCCAGGACACCAAGATATCCCTCCAGAACAGCAACAACAACATGTACCCCAAAATCAACAGGATCTAGGACAGGAACCCCAACATATACCCCAAGAAAACCAGCCACTGCCTCCAGGACACAACAGCCTACCCCATGATTCTCCACAGATGCCCCTCGACCACAACAATGTGCCATAGAATGGTCATATGGTTTTTCCTGCGTGACTGTGTGGACAAACTGACCTTCTGACTTCAAACTGATTTCAACAAAAAGTACCTCCTGCACAGTACGAGTCAATGATTACCTGTGGTCATGTGTGCTGTGGTTTTAATTAGTAAGGAATTGGGTGGTTTCATAAATATCATACATTTAATGCAGACTTTGCTGTTTGATGTGTGTTTGATTTCTTTTTGTTATTGGAAATATCTTTTACATACGTTGTGGATATTTTATTTTCCAACAGAGTGGATTGGATGTCTGTGTGTACGCTTTTGTTTTGGACATTTTTTTTTCTGAAATTTTAATGGCCATGAAGAGCTACTTAAAACCTAGTTGTGTGGTATCAGAATATTGTTGAATTGTACTGGAAGTTTTTAATTGATTAAGGCTACTCTGGAGTTTAACTGTTGCTTACGGGGGGAACTTTGAGAGTAAAGTCAATAAAGAAATCTATTTGGAAAAAAAAATTATTTTATGAAATACAAACATCACATGCAATTACTTCAATTCAGTTCAGTACAAATTAAGCTCAATTAAAGCCAAAATTAAGGCACTTACAATGATAGTGAATGGGGACAATTTCTGGAGGATTTAAAAGCAGAAATGTGAAGCTTTTACCAGTATTTTTACAAATGCACTTGTATTGTTAAATTTGTGAATAATTTGAATTGTAAAGATGTTTAAAGAATCATTTTTAAATTTGTAGTGTTTATGGTAATGTGTAATCATGGCAAAAGAAAAAAAAAAGTTGTAAAATTGAAAATAACTTTACACACATACAAAAAAAAAAAAGTTTAGGAACCAATTTTCCCCCACACTAATTGTTTACATCCTCTGTCCATATTATTGAAACCGTTCTTGTGCTAATTACTTTTTTTTTTGTGCTAATCAACATGAAGCCACAAATGCTGTCTATTGTGCTTACCTTGCACTGAACCCAAAACTAGCTTTAAGTGCATTTTAATTATTCCACACACCACACAAATGTCTTGTTGCACTATACTTAACCCATCGAAAGCCATTTGTGATAATCATATCAATGAGGCACTATATATGTGTATATATATATATATATATATATATATATATATATATATAAACTGCATATTAAATGCACAAGAGTGCTTTAAGATTTTAAGATATTAAATGCACAACGTATGTTATGGCTTCATAGAAGATTCTTTCTGCTCTTACGTCATACCAAATGTGTGAGAATAACTTTTAAAGTGTCTCGTCCTTCAAAAAACATTTATTAGCATTAATTCTAATCAACATTGATTGGAAGAAATACAATGAAGCAGTCATTCAGCCACATACAGTACAATGCATTTCCTGTAAACCGTTTGGCTGAGCCAAAAAAAGAATTCACGTCACAATACAGTACGTACAAGTAAATTTTTCACATTCACTTAACAGTTCATTTGGCCAAAAACGAAGTGCCTTTGGTATACGGTGTACTTCACATTCATAATCTAGCGGCTCTTCCCAGCTACCAAGTCGTCATTCCACCAAGCTCAATTAAAATCCAGACACCCATAATCAAAGGCACGTGTTCTGTCTCAAATGTGTAAAGGCTGTGCAATAGCATATGATTGAGAGAAAGCTTTGAGAGCTCTGAGCAATTACAGTGCTGGGAGTGCTATAGTCTCATTGATACTGTATTTTCCCAAATCCATTGGTTGTGTCCTTACTTGCTAAGATGCGGTCATCTAACTACATGGTCTGGAGTGGCACGGCTCGTGTTTGAGAGTCCAAATGGGTGGAGGAGATAAAGGGGTGGAACAGGGCTGATAATGGCTAAAGGACTGGGTTTAGCTGGTCTGTTGGGCAGCCATGGGACCCATTCCTCTGCTGGACCGATATGATCCCCCTCGTCCTGAAACCCAAATACATCAGAAAATCAATGTGGAGATAAATAGTCTAGTCACATTCAATGATTTCAGGGCCAATTACAACGAGCACTTTCCACGCTTTTGAAATGGTATTCTGATCATAAAACACCCATAAAGTATGTACATTATGTATCTTATACTACAAGTGTTAAATGCAAACCATCAATCCCAAAAGTACAACAACAGATTCATCAGAACAGCTCCATATATCATTATTGCACTCAAATTCTCTATGGAAAACCATTGAAATTTTGAACGGCCATATCTCCGTAATGGCGCGGCGGATCCGCACCAAATTTGGGGGATCCCTTCAGCTTGAGGAACCCTCGCGAATGCAAATTGACTGTACGTCTCGAGGCCCTCTTTCGAATGAGACCACCCCTGCGTGGATAGCCCCAGGGATTCGGGAGTTACAGGTGGTTAAATTCACGGTCCCCTCAAAAATTGGAAGTGAAATGTGACAACATGCCCCATAGGTGGGGTACATTGTAACAGCTGAGGGGCACATTGTAACATGACCATATAACAGCTTAAAATGTTATCTGATCGCATGAAAAAAATATACAAGACAAATTAAAATATTTTGTCAACAAAATAAAATAATTATTTCAAATAAAATAATGGCGTTTTTTAAGAATTTAAAATGATCTGATTTTGGAGTTTGACAATGAACATTGCAACCATGCTTGGGACGGCCCACATAAACGAGCAACGATGCTTTACATGTCTTGAAATAATAATTTCTAAACATTAAACACTGACTGTCTGTTTTTATTCACCTGTTTCTCGTTGTTTCTCATTAAAATTAAAGTAAATAACATCGCTAATGTCATAGAATAGCACATTGTAACACAGTGTTACAACGTGCCCCATCTGCGCAACTGGAGTTTAAAACTGGTTACTGTCTTCTGCTAGTAATCAAAGCATTAAAAAAAAAACCTATCTGAAATGATAAATAACAGATTGGAGATTAAAATAACAGCAGATGTCTCATTTTAAATTAATAATAAAATATAATAAATAATAAAAACTGAGATAAAAAAAAAGTTTACTTTAGCCAGAATTTAAATGTTACTATGGTAAAATAATATTCAAACTATGTGTTACAACTAACACCCCGTTACTTTGTGCATCGCACTCATCGCAAGTTTATTGTTAAATGCCCTTACATATCTCTGTCACCATTATAAGTGTTTGATCACCACATTTGAGTGATCATTGCAAAAAATGTGTTTATGTATATAAATATATATATATATTCTGTTTATGTATATACTGTATTCTATATATAGTACCAGTCAAATGTTTGGACACATGAATGGGAAAGTGTCCAAACTTTTGACTGGTACTAATATACACAAAGAATATCGGCCGATATATCGGTATCGGCCTTTTTTTACTCCCTAATATCGGTATCGGTTCCAAAAAACCCATATCGGGCGGGCTCTATAGAAGACCTCATCAAGATACTACAAAAGATGCAAGACATGAGCAGAACTATCAAACGTGTCAGTGCAATGCTTGTTTCCACAGAAAACCAATGGAAAAAAACTGCATAAAGTAATGCAAAAATGTGTTCTTTGTGAATGGCCCCTTACACAGCATGAAAAACAGAACAGAAGCAGTATGGAGAGACAAACTCTGAGGGGGTGAATTTGGAGAGGGTGGGGTAGACAGGTTGAGGCCTACCGCTTGCATGGACTGGAATGGAGCTGCGTTAACGTTGATGCCACTGTGAAGGGGTTTGGAGACAGGCTGAAACACCTGGGGCTGAGAGGAAGGGGTGGGGGGCTGCTCAGACGACAGGGGCATGGAGACCTAGGGTGTATATCCTACATCACTCACATATCTAAGCCATAGTGTACACACAGCATCTGCGAAAGCACTGCGGTGTATGCGGTTACCTGCAGGGGGTCAATGGAGTCTGTCTGTGGTCGGGGTTCCGAGTTATGAGGGGGCTGATAGAGAGGGGGTGTGGAGGAGTAGGCCTCCTTTGGAGCGGAGACCATCGGGACCTGGATAGAGAAACAGAGTTTCAGGAAAGCCATTTCAGACATAAACCACTTGAGAGCATGTTTCTGCTAATTGCACTTACTTGCGTGGGTTCAGGCTGCACAGAAAGAGCGTTGTGTTGGGGTAGTCGGGATTCTGTGTGAGCAAAAAAAAACCCACATTAAAAGAGCAACATTTTGGGCTGGGTATTGAGAACTGGTTTCATTTTAGAATCGGTTCCAAATTTCCAAGAACCGGAATTCAATAAGACATGTATATTACGATTCCGCTTAACGATTCCTGCATTCGCATTCTAATGTGATTTTATACCATTTAAGCACAAGTAGGAAAGAACTTGCGCACAGTTTTGCGGCACGCGCACACATCTGAAGCACGAGCACAGAGAACCACAGTTCTGGTGCGGGTTCCACTGCAGACAAGGTAGTTCCGGCCTGGACTTCTTTTTCACATCTTGCGACCAATATGCACAAAATTATGTCAGTATATCCTTGTAAACACAGCCATTTTTGTCTTAAGTTGAACACAAACAGATGAGAAAGAAAACGCATGTGTAACAGTAATTTAGATCCATGTGCGTTTGGTGTTAGAGACAGCAGAATAATAAACCTGCTGCCTGTCATTAATGTTAATCAAAGAACAAAAGAAAATCATTCACTGATCTTGACTGAATACCTTTCGTACCTTTAATGAGGATTAATCTATATCTTATTTATAAAAAGATAATTTTGGATTTCATTTTCTGTACCTGAAATTTGTACAGTTGTATTTATGCTATTGATTTGTTTGTTCCCATTTTATTACTGACCGTTTACTTGTCTTTAACAATTTAATATTTGAAATTTATATATTTTTTTAGTTTTTGCTGTGGTATTTTTGTTAAAAGCATAGGCAAAAGTTCCTCATGTGCCTAAGTGTTCTGTAGGCTGCTGATTATTGCCCATGTTATTCAGCTGCAACAGAATGCTTTGTAAAAAGACACAGAATAAATGTTTGACATCTAAACATTCACCTTCATTTTTTTTTACCTTATTGGAATTGAAAATAGGAATGGGATAAGCAGAATTGGAATTGATCGTATTCAAACAATACCCAACCATATAGAAAAGTTAATCCAAAATTCTTTAGTTACTCAGCCTTATGTTGTCATTATAAATGTTTTTTTCTTTGTGCAAGGCTAAACTTCTTTAAAACTATTAAAAATTGATTTTAGTAATTGAAAAAGTCAAAATTAAAAATACCACTTCAATGATTAGAAACGAGATGAAGTACTAAAATTGAAGAAGAAAAAAAAAAAAAGTGAATAAAAGTGACAAAAGCCCAAAAATAACTAAAACCTAAATTAAAATATAAAAACTAAGGCTAATTCCAAATATTAATAAATGCTTTAATAGCGATTAAATAATACTAAAATAACACTGCTGCAAGGAATCTTCGGTCCTTCAGCATAGCTCTCAAATATGATTGATTTGTACAGATATTACTCATTGGACATTTGGTCATAAAACACAAAAAACCAATGCAATCTAGTGATTGATGCCCAACTTGACATGATGCATCTAAAGGTGTCTAAATAAAGTAAATAAGAATTTTTGCTTTTAGAGCAGACTATCCCTGCGACCCAATGTTCATACTATCCATCCTAAATAGTATGTGAGATTAGAATAAGTGTGTCCCAAAGCATAGTATGTTGAAAAGAATATGCCAAAATTCCCTGGATGGTCTACTATTTCAGGTAGACTTTTTAAGTGTGGATCCGTGCACACTCTAATGGCTAATATTGCCCACAATCCATTGCGCTTTGGTGAAGGATTCGGTTCAGAACTACAAACAAGAATAAAAAAGCGATGTGCGCGACCAATGGTTAAGTAAAGAGGTTTAGATAAAGGGGTTTGAGCTACTAATAATCAACAATTAACCTGGTAAAAAAATATTTATTTAATGTTATCTTTTATATTTCATCTGCAACAACGTGAACTTTTATAAACATCTGTTGGGCCATTAACTTTTAAATTAATCATTATGCAAAAAATATGAGCAGAGTTCTCCGCATAAAGACCTACGGCTGGCAGATCAAAGTGCTACTTCTTTTCTCTCCAATACGGTAGGAAGTTAAATGAAATGTGGAGGATGTTAACTGTGACAAGATGATTGACAGGCCAGTTTACAGTGGCAGTGTGCATGTAACTATGCCACAGAGCAGCCTGTTGAAAACACAATTGTATGTCATGATAGTATGTCCCAAAGTTTGCCTACTCTTCTCCTACACACTCAAAAGTGTGTACTTTTTCTTCATCAAGAGTACATACTTTGCACATTGGGACACAGCATTTTTTAATTTGTATACCAACCTGGTGGACAGACCATCTGTGCAGGTTTCATGGGCTGTGCCGACACAATAGCAGGATCTAGAGGCGGTCCCTCAAACTCCAGCATGGAGTCCTGCGTTACATTTCACACACAAGTTAGAAAAGACCACTGCTACACTTGAAGCGTGATGAATGACAAATTCCGCAGTTTACCTGCATGAAGTTGAAGGTACCCTGCATTTGAGCCATGAGATCTTGGACTGCCTGCTTTCGGACCACGGGATCTGCTGCAGGGGGAGGGAGGACGGCGTTCAGTGTGTGCGGTTCTGAGCTGACCAGAGCTGGGCTCATGGCTGCAGGTGGCTGCTGTGGTTGCTGGAGGGCACTAACTGCCTGAAAAGCAAAAATCACTGTGTAAACAACATTTGCCAGAGGTTGCTAACATTTCTGGTGTTTTCTTTGACAAATGAGGTCTATTAGGTATACCGGAGAACTTGTGTTCCACTCTGCTCCTTGCTCTTTGTCACTGCTGCTGTAGGTGGCTTCTGGAATGAATTGTCTGTTTACAAACTATAAGGAAAAAGAAGTGCAGGGCATTAAAAACATGTTATGACTACAGTTGTCTAGTTTGTAAAATGTTTTCTTGCCTTCCAAAAAAAATAATAATACAGGATTTACATAAAGCATGTAGATAAAACATGGCTTTTCACACTATGCTTAACCCTGGGTCATCATTGGCCTAAACCCCATTTTTAACCCCAGGTAGAGGAATGTTTCACACTTGTAACTTAGAAGCAGGTTAGCACTATGGTAATGAAACTCTGCTCGCAAGCAGCATTAACATTGCTTTTGCCAAACTTGTGTTATAATGTTTCAGCTAGATGCTTAGCAATACAATGGCGTTCTCATCTCTGTCAAAATGAAAGTCCCATGCACTCACTGTTCGATGAATCGGCCAAACAGAAAAACTCATGGCGATGAAAAATGCAGTGTAAAAAAATGAAGCAAGATAACCCAGGATTCCGTTCACCTGTGGCCTGTTCCATGAAGCTAGCTGAACAAACTCAGTGTTTCAGAGTTGACAAAACCAAACAAATTCAACCTGGTTTAGATCAAGATCAGCTGGCTCACAAAGCTAGATATAAACATTCTCTGTCAATTCAGAGTTTGATCCAGAGTTTGTGATTAACCTGAAAGTGTGACACATGCAGCAAACAGCCAATCACACGGAAGAGAGAGCATCGGTTTGATACACTTCTTGCATGACTATCCCCAATTAACTTCTCTGCTGAATATTAAGAGGTGTTATTAAAAATAATGAATTTAAATGCATTTACAAGGTAGGAATAAGCACTGCTGCTGCAGCAAAAGTTTGAGAAGGCAGCAGAAATAAAATATTTTATTATGCAAATAAATCAACAGAATTTAATAATTTATTTAGTTTCTAAATAAAAGTAATTTTAAAAGCTTTATATATTAAAACTTATATGTATATATTTACATTTATTTAAATTAAAAGATAATTTAATTGCCAGTTCATATAACAATTATTTGAATATTTTATATGAATTATAAATAATTATAATTCATATAATATGAATCTAATAAATAATTAGCAGCAAACGATGGCCAATTCTGTCTCTAAGATTCTATCACTGTAAACTGCTTTAATGTGGAGCAAGAGATATGGGGGAGTGGCTTTATTGCATCAGATATACGTCATTTTGCTCACCGCTGATTGGTCCAGTTTGGGTTTGCAATCGCTAACCCAGAATAAAACCTGCTCCGGAGCAGAGTAGCCGTGTAGTGCAAGTTACCATGGCAACGAAACCTGCTCAAAACCAACCTACCTTCTTGAGCCCATAAACTCAGAGTTTGCTCAAACTAAACACGAACTTACCTGGGTAAAAACCAAAACCAGCTTTGTGCAACAGACCTCTGGGTTTTAGAATGACCCAGGATTAACTATTTCAAGGGCGAAAAGCCCTAAACTGTGTTAATATCAATTCACACCTCTGTTGCTTCATCCTCAATAGTTTCTGTGTATTCTTGAGCGGTTCCCTCTGTGAAAAGACAAGAACATCGATGTAAACTGTCAGTCGCTTGAGAAAGCATTTCTCTGCTCTAAAATTTGATGACTTTGTTTTCACCTGGCTCAACGGGGCGTTCCTCGCTCTCTGAAGACTCCGCTGCTGCTGCAGCCCCCGTCTCCTCTTCACACACTCCATTCTGATGTGTTTGAGCACGATCAAAGTACCCACTTAGCAGCATCTTGTCCAAGCTTTCCTTAAGGGCTTTGTCTGTTCAAGACACAAAAAACAGGTTAATGCAAGGGCTCAAAGTTTAGCGAGGCCGTGTTAGTCTGCTGGAAGATGTTAACTACATCATTTGGACTCTAAAGGCATTTTTCTTTACTGAAGGTAACTTTGATTTAGCCCACAAAAACTGCAACAACATCAGTAACAAAGTCTCATAGGCTGAATTTACAAACAAATTTATACTATCATGATTCCCACCCTCTCTGTAGGAATACGCAGGCAGGCCATGTCCATCATTAAAACCTCCAGCAGAGAGGCTTTGTGCAGACCACTGGCTGCCTGCCCAGCTGCTGACGTGGGTCACAAGTCAGCATTGCTGATCCTCATAGGGCCGAGACAGAGTACAGCTTTCAAAAGCCATGGCAAGTGCCACCATTCATAGGGAGGCCAAGAGAGGGATGGCCCCAGTGGTATTCAGACTCAATGGAGAACAAATATTGATTTGATTATTCAGTTGGCATTGCTCAAGACTATTCTGACAATTGAAAGTGCGAGTTACAAACAAAAGACTCTTACGAACTGGTTATTTTTCATTCTTTTTAACTTTCATGAAACAACCGCAAACTCACTCTTGCGTTACCAAGAATCAGATTCACTTAAGCTATGAATAGTTCAAGAGACTGAGTTCACAACCGAATCCCTCACAGAATCGTGAAACATTTTTGGTTTATGTTCGAAATTAAGCAGAGACCTTTAATTTCATGCAAGGTCTCACAATCCTAAAATGTACATCACAAAAATACACCTTCAGAATAGAGCTTTGTTAAATAATAATGGTATTCTATAATAAATAAATGGTACTCTTAAAAAATCCACACATAAAAAAAAGACAATTTATTTTTATTTATTCATTCCTATATGTATAATTAAACCATTACAGTTTAAAAAGTAAACATTTTGGGTCCAATATTAAGACTAAATTGACTGTAAAATCCAGAAAAAAACATTACTTACATGTGGTTCCAGCCACAGCTTTATCCCTTCCTTCCAAAAGCTCCCACAAATGCCCGGATGCTTCATCAAACTGCTCAGCCAACCTGGAATCAAAAGTAATTCTGAAATATTAAAACACACCAAATCTACTAACAAAAATGAACTGAAGGGCACAAATGAACTGTCCTCACCTTACACTAGAGTCCCGCTCAGGCCCAATTAGCTTGTAGAACTCATCCAGGCCCGTGAGCTCTGACTCTGTGAGTACAGGGGCGTCCCCACTGGACTGAGTCAGGTCCTGCCTCACGCTTTCCTCCCCCAGCTGCTCTAGCAAATACTGCACCTCCAGCACTGCCTTCAGTCGCTTGCGCTCCACCTCCTCCCTCTTCAGCTGCTCCCGTCGTGTTGCCTTTTTCACTGTTTTCTGGATCTACAAGAAAACAATCAAAATATTTTAATATAAACTGGGCGAAACAAATTGACCAGGTGCTGTCCCACAGCATTTTCGCTTTGTGAGAACAGAAATATTGCATTGCATCAATGGTTTTAGGCTTGATAGTAGGAGTAAAAGTTAGGGATGCATCGATCCGATACTCAGGATCGGTATCGGCTCCGATACTGGAATTTTCTGCCGGATCGGGTATCGGTCAGACGAACCGATCCAAATCCGATAGTGCTTATACTATTCTGTGTTATTGTTAAGCCCCACGAAAGCACAAACACATTATAAAGCACCATAAAGTCAAAGTCCAAGTGTTCTGAAGCTGTTCCATAGTTCAGTGTGAGGTACAGATGACTATTTAAGTCATTAAATTCAAGTTCACAAACTCTTCTCTCTGCTGCGGCTGTCTGCCATCCTCCATTCAGCATTCAAACTGCGTGTCACGTTTGGTTACGACAGTCAAGACTAGGGCTGTAGCTATCGATTATTTTAGTAATTGAGTATTCTACAGATTATTCCATCGATTAATCGTATAAGAAGTCATTTTTCTTTATTAAAGAGCAATGCTAAATATACAAGAGATAATAAGATAGATCTCTTAAAATAAACAACTAATTTGTTTTCTTTTTAGAAAAATTAACATTTTTATTGCAGAAATTGCATACATTAATAACCGTGAAGACTAAACCCCATTTAATGTATTTAATTGCCAAATTGCATTCAAAATGCAAATACAAATATATCAAAAAATTTCAATAAATAAAAATACTAAAATCTATTTCACATTACTTTAAAAAAGGTAAACAGTACAAACTAAAACTAAGGCATAAATAAAAATAATAATACCTAAACATTGCATTTATGTCGTGCAACTTAACTTTCAAGTTTCAGCCTGACTAAAGCTCAAGCATGACATAAGCCTTTACTATTTTCTTGGAAGGCTTTGTGGCTTTTGTGAGAGGCAAAAGTCAGTGGACAGGAAGGTAACTTGGAACAAGAACAAGAGACCATACACAATTTTTAAACATTTTTCTGCAACATGAAATTAGAGTTATTTGGAGAATAAACCCTCTTAAAATGTCCCTATACGTACTGGTGTGTGTGTGTAAAACTTGTTTTTGATATCCTTCATATTCTGTAGGGCTGCACGATATATCGAAATATCACAAATGTCATATCACAAGGGTGTGAGATATCTGAATCATTTTAATAATAGGCTACTTAAATCAAAACGTTACAAATGGTCAAAGTTTTTGTTCGACGCATATAGCAGAGAATTGCTTGACGTTAAAAAGAGTTAAGTGCAATAAGTTGCAGAAAACAACTCTTTGCCGTCTCGTCTTGCTGTCTGACTCACACCTGAAGCGCGCGCACAAGCCGCATCTCGCACAGCATCTCTTCAGTTCTGCCACACACGTGCAAAGCGCGCATGCACACACACACACGCACGCGTTTCAGACACCGAGTTGATTCGTCTTTTGCATCTTCTCATGTTTGAACAGACACATACACACAGAATTATGTCAACAGTACCCATTTCGACGATCATTCTCGTAAACGCAGTCAGTTATGTTTTAAATGAATGTAAACAGCTGAGAAATAAATCGGATGTGTATCATTATACTGGATCCGTGCAGTCGGTTTTAAAGGGACAGCAGCCTATAAATACCTGCTGCTGAATATGTCAATATGTCAGCTGAGAAATAAATCGGATGTGTATCATTATACTGGATCCGTGCAGTCGGTTTTAAAGGGACAGCAGCCTATAAATACCTGCTGCTGAATATGTCACTAATGTTAATCAAACAACAAAACAGCTATAACAAAGATTAATCTAAATTTAATCCATACCGTGAACACTATGCGGTGTTATTTTACACTTAATTATTAAATTTCTGTATCTGAATACTATTGTTTATATTATCTATGCTTTTTTTTCAAGCACTGTTCACTTGCCTTTAATCATGTTTGAACTTTCTCA